TGCTATATCTGAAGGAACGGTACTAGTGGCTGACATTGCAGGAGTGGAGGCTGATGTCGATGCTATATCTGAAGGAACGGTACTAGTGGCTGACATTGCAGGAGTGGAGGCTGATGTCGATGCTATATCTGAAAACGAACTAGTGGCTGACATTGCAGGAGTGGAGGCTGATGTGGATGCTATATCTGAAGGAACGGTACTAGTGGCTGACATTGCAGGAGTGGAGGCTGATGTCGATGCTATATCTGAAGGAACGGTACTAGTGGCTGACATTGCAGGAGTGGAGGCTGATGTCGATGAACTATATCTGAAGGAACGGTACTAGTGGCTGACATTGAAGGAGTGGAGGCTGATGTGATGGATGCTATATCTGAAGGAACGGTACTAGTGGCTGACATTGCAGGAGTGGAGGCTGATGTGGATGCTATATCTGAAGGAACGGTACTAGTGGCTGACAATGCAGGAGTGGAGGCTGATGTCGATGCTATATCTGAAGGAACGGTACTAGTGGCTGACAATGCAGGAGTGGAGGCTGATGTGGATGCTATATCTGAAGGAACGGTACTAGTGGCTGACAATGCAGGAGTGGAGGCTGATGTCGATGCTATATCTGAAGGAACGGTACTAGTGGCTGACAATGCAATGGAGGCTGAGGATGCTATATCTGAAGGAACGGTACTGGAGGCAGTACTAGTGATGTGGATGCTATATCTGAAGGAACGGTACTAGTGGCTGACATTGCAGGAGTGGTGGAGGCTGATGTCGATGCTATATCTGAAGGAACGGTACTAGTGGCTGACATTGCAGGAGTGGAGGCTGATGTGGATGCTATATCTGAAGGAATGTGGCTGACAATGCAGGATGGAGGCTGATGTGGATGCTATATCTGAAGGAACGGTACTAGTGGCTGACAATGCAGTGGCTGATGTTGCTATATCTGAAGGAACGGTACTAGTGGCTGGCAGGAGTGGAGGCTGATGTCGATGCTATATCTGAAGGAACGGTACTAGTGGCTGACATTGCAGGAGGTGGAGGCTGATGTGGATGCTATATCTGAAGGAACGGTACTAGTGGCTGACATTGCAGGAGTGGAGGCTGATGTGGATGCTATATCTGAAGGAACGGTACTAGTGGCTGACATTGCAGGAGTGGAGGCTGATGTGGATGCTATATCTGAAGGAACGGTACTAGTGGCTGACATTGCAGGAGTGGAGGCTGATGTGGATGCTATATCTGAAGGAACGGGTACTAGTGGCTGACATTGAAGGAAGTGGAGGCTGATGTCGATGCTATATCTGAAGGAACGGTACTGATGTGGCTATATCTGAAGGAACAATAGTGGCTGACATTGCAGGAGTGGAGGCTGATGTGGATGCTATATCTGAAGGAACGGTACTAGTGGCTGACATTGCAGGAGTGGAGGCTGATGTGGATGCTATATCTGAAGGAACGGTACTAGTGGCTGACATTGCAGGAGTGGAGGCTGATGTGGATGCTATATCTGAAGGAACGGTACTAGTGGCTGACATTGCAGGAGTGGAGGCTGATGTGGATGCTATATCTGAAGGAACGGTACTAGTGGCTGACATTGCAGGAGTGGAGGCTGATGTCGATGCTATATCTGAAGGAACGGTACTAGTGGCTGACAATGCAGGGTGGAGGCTGATGTGGATGCTATATCTGAAGGAACGGTACTAGTGGCTGACATTGCAGGAGTGGAGGCTGATGTGGATGCTATATCTGAAGGAACGGTACTAGTGGCTGAACGGTACATTGCAGGGGTGGAGGCTGATGTCGATGCTATATCTGAAGGAACGGTACTAGTGGCTGACATTGCAGGAGTGGAGGCTGATGTGGATGCTATATCTGAAGGAACGGTACTAGTGGCTGACATTGCAGGAGTGGAGGCTGATGTGGATGCTATATCTGAAGGAACGGTACTAGTGGCTGACAATGCAGGAGTGGAGGCTGATGTGGATGCTATATCTGAAGGAACGGTACTAGTGGCTGACATTGCAGGAGTGGAGGCTGATGTCGATGCTATATCTGAAGGAACGGTACTAGTGGCTGACATTGCAGGAGTGGAGGCTGATGTCGATGCTATATCTGAAGGAACGGTACTAGTGCTGATGCTGACATTGAAGGAACGGAGGCTGATGTGGATGCTATATCTGAAGGAACGGTACTAGTGGCTGACATTGCAGGAGTGGAGGCTGATGTCGATGCTATATCTGAAGGAACGGTACTAGTGGCTGACATTGCAGGAGTGGAGGGAGGTTATATCTGAAGGAACGGATGTCGATGCTATATCTGAAGGAACGGTACTAGTGGCTGACATTGCAGGAGTGGAGGCTGATGTGGATGCTATATCTGAAGGAACGGTACTAGTGGCTGACAATGCAGGAGTGGAGGCTGATGTGGATGCTATATCTCAAGGAACGGTACTAGTGGCTGACATTGCAGGAGTGGAGGCTGATGTGGATGCTATATCTGAAGGAACGGTACTAGTGGCTGACATGGAGTATATCTGAAGGAACGGTACTAGTGGCTGACAATGCAGGGATTGGAGGCTGATGTCGATGCTATATCTGAAGGAACGGTACTAGTGGGAACATTGCAAGGTGGAGGCTGATGTGGATGCTATATCTGAAGGAACGGTACTAGTGGCTGACAGGTGGATGCTATATCTGGAAGGGAGTGGCTGATGTCGATGCTATATCTGAAGGAAACGGTACTAGTGGCTGACATTGAAGGAGTGGAGGCTGATGTGGATGCTATATCTGAAGGAACGGTACTAGTGGCTGACATTGCAGGAGTGGAGGCTGATGTGGATGCTATATCTGAAGGAACGGTACTAGTGGCTGACAATGCAGGAGTGGAGGCTGATGTGGATGCTATATCTGAAGGAACGGTACTAGTGGCTGACAATGCAGGAGTGGAGGCTGATGTGGATGCTATATCTGAAGGAACGGTACTAGTGGCTGACAATGCAGGAGTGGAGGCTGATGTCGATGCTATATCTGAAGGAACGGTACTAGTGGCTGACATTGCAGGGTGGAGGCTGATGTGGATGCTATATCTGAGTGGAACGGTGGAGGCTGATGTGATGCTATATCTGAAGGAACGGTACAGTTGCAGGAGTGGAGGCTGATGTGGATGCTATATCTGAAGGAACGGTACTAGTGGCTGACATTGCAGGAGTGGAGGCTGATGTCGATGCTATATCTGAAGGAACGGTACTAGTGGCTGACATTGCAGGAGTGGAGGCTGATGTGTCGATGCTATATCTGAATTGAAGTGGTACTAGTGGCTATATCTGAAGGAACAAGTGCTGGAGTGGAGGCTGATGTGGATGCTATATCTGAAGGAACGGTACTAGTGGCTGACAATGCAGGAGATGGAGGCTGATGTGGATGCTATATCTGAAGAAGGAACGGTACTGACAATGCAGTGGAGGCTGATGTCGACATATCTGAACGGTAGGTGGTGGGAGGCTGATGTCGATGCTATATCTGAAGGAACGGTACTAGTGGCTGACATTGCAGGAGTGGAGGCTGATGTCGATGCTATATCTGAAGGAACTAGTGGTACTAGTGGCTGATGTGACTATATTGGGAGTGGGATGCTGATGTCGATGCTATATCTGAAGGAACGGTACTAGTGGCTGACTAGTGGCTATATCTGAAGGAACGGTACTAGTGACATTGGAGGCTGATGTGGATGCTATATCTGAAGGAACGGTACTAGTGGCTGACATTGCAGTGGAGGCTGATGTGGATGCTATATCTGAAGGAACGGTACTAGTGGCTGACATTGCAGGAGTGGAGGCTGATGTCGATGCTATATCTGAAGGAACGGTACTAGTGGCTGACATTGCAGGAGTGGAGGCTGATGTCGATGCTATATCTGAAGGAACGGTACTAGTGGCTGACAATGCAGGAGTGGAGGCTGATGTGGATGCTATATCTGAAGGAACGGTACTAGTGGCTGACATTGCAGGATTGGAGGCTGATGTGGATGCTATATCTGAAGGAACGGTACTAGTGGCTGACATTGCAGGAGTGGAGGCTGATGTGGATGCTATATCTGAAGGAACGGTACTAGTGGCTGACATTGCAGGAGTGGAGGCTGATGTCGATGCTATATCTGGAAGGAACGGTACTAGTGGCTGACAATGCTGATGTGGATGCTATATCTGGAGAACGGTACTGATGTCGATGCTATATCTGAAGGAACGGTACTAGTGGCTGACATTGCAGGAGTGGAGGCTGATGTGGATGCTATATCTGAAGGAACGGTACTAGTGGCTGACAATGCAGGAGTGGAGGCTGATGTGGATGGAGGCTACTAGTGGCTGACAATTGCAGGATGGAGGCTGATGTCGATGCTATATCTGAAGGAACGGTACTAGTATGACTGCAGGAGTGGAGGCTGATGTGGATGCTATATCTGAAGGGTAGTGGCTGACAATGCAGGAGTGGAGGCTGATGTGGATGCTATATCTGAAGGAACGGTACTGGTGGCTGACATTGCAGGAGTGGAGGCTGATGTGGATGCTATATCTGAAGGAACGGTACTAGTGGCTGACATTGCAGGAGTGGAGGCTGATGTCGATGCTATATCTGAAGGAACGGTACTAGTGGCTGACATTGCAGGAGTGGAGGCTGATGTGGATGCTATATCTGAAGGAACGGTACTAGTGGCTGACATTGCAGGAGTGGAGGCTGATGTCGATGCTATATCTGAAGGAACGGTACTAGTGGCTGACAATGCAGGAGTGGAGGCTGATGTGGATGCTATATCTGAAGGAACGGTACTAGTGGCTGACAATGCAGGAGTGGAGGCTGATGTGGATGCTATATCTGAAGGAACGGTACTAGTGGCTGACATTGCAGGACAATGTGGGAGGCTGATGTGGATGCTATATCTGAAGGAACGGTACTAGTGGCTGACATTGCAGGGTGGAGGCTGATGTCGATGCTATATCTGAAGGAACGGTACTAGTGGCTGACAATTGCAGGAGTGGAGGCTGATGTCGATGCTATATCTGAAGGAACGGTACTAGTGGCTGACATTGCAGGAGTGGAGGCTGATGTCGATGCTATATCTGAAGGAACGGTACTAGTGGCTGACATTGCAGGAGTGGAGGCTGATGTCGATGCTATATCTGAAGGAACGGTACTAGTGGCTGACATTGCAGGAGTGGAGGCTGATGTGGATGCTATATCTGAAGGAACGGTAGTAGTGGCTGACAATGCAGGAGTGGAGGCTGATGTCGATGCTATATCTGAAGGAACGGTACTAGTGGCTGGACATGTGGATGCTATAGGAAGGTGGAGGCTGATGTGGATGCTATATCTGAAGGAACGGTACTAGTACTAGTGGCTGACAATGAAGGAGTGGAGGCTGATGTGGGCTATATCTGAAGGAACGGTACTAGTGGCTGACAATGCAGGATGATGTCGATGCTATATCTGAAGGAACGGTACTAGTGGCTGACAATGCAGGAGTGGAGGCTGATGTGGATGGTTGATATCGATATCTGAAGGAACGGTACTAGTGGCTGACATTGCAGGAGTGGAGGCTGATGTCGATGCTATATCTGAAGGAACGGTACTAGTGGCTGACATTGCAGGAGTGGAGGCTGATGTGGATGCTATATCTGAAGGAACGGTACTAGTGGCTGACATTGCAGGAGTGGAGGCTGATGTCGATGCTATATCTGAAGGAACGGTACTAGTGGCTGACATTGCAGGTGGAGGCTGATGTCGATGCTATATCTGAAGGAACGGTACTAGTGGCTGACATTGCAGGAGTGGAGGCTGATGTGGATGCTATATCTGAAGGAACGGTACTAGTGGCTGACATTGCAGGAGTGGAGGCTGATGTGGATGCTATATCTGAAGGAACGGTACTAGTGGTGACAATGCAGGAGTGGAGGCTGATGTGGACTATATCTGAAGGAACGGTACTAGTGGAGGCAAGAGTGGAGGCTGATGTGGATGCTATATCTGAAGGAACGGTACTAGTGGCTGACATTGCAGGAGTGGAGGCTGATGTGGATGCTATATCTGAAGGAACGGTACTAGTGGCTGACATTGCAGGAGTGGAGGCTGATGTCGATGCTATATCTGAAGGAACGGTACTAGTGGCTGACAATGCAGGATGGAGGCTGATGTGGATGCTATCTGAAGGAACGGTACTAGTGGCTGACAATGCAGGAGTGGAGGCTGATGTGGATGCTATATCTGAAGGAACGGTACTAGTGGCTGACATTGCAGGAGTGGAGGCTGATGTGGATGCTATATCTGAAGGAACGGTACTAGTGGCTGACATTGCAGGAGTGGAGGCTGATGTCGATGCTATATCTGAAGGAACGGTACTAGTGGCTGACATTGGGCTGATGTGGATGCTATATCTGAAGTGGTACTAGTGGCTGACAATGCAGGAGTGGAGTCTGATGTCGATGCTATATCTGAAGGAACGGTACTAGTGGCTGACATTGCAGGAGTGGAGGCTGATGTCGATGTGGATGCTATATCTGAAGGAACGGTACTAGTGGCTGACATTGCAGGAGTGGAGGCTGATGTGGATGCTATATCTGAAGGAACGGTACTAGTGGCTGACATTGCAGGAGTGGAGGCTGATGTGGATGCTATATCTGAAGGAACGGTACTAGTGGCTGACATTGCAGGAGTGGAGGGATGTGGATGCTATATCTGAAGGAACGGTACTAGTGGCTGATGGCTGATGTCGATGCTATATCTGAAGGAACGGTACTAGTGGCTGACATTGCAGGAGTGGAGGCTGATGTGGATGCTATATCTGAAGGAACGGTACTAGTGGCTGACAATGCAGGATTGGAGGCTGATGTGGATGCTATATCTGAAGGAACGGTACTAGTGGCTGACAAGGATTGGAGGCTGATGTCGATGCTATATCTGAAGGAACGGTACTAGTGGCTGACATTGCAGGAGTGAGTGATGGCTGATGCTATATCTGAAGGAACGGTACTAGTGGCTGACATTGCAGGAGGAGGCTGATGTGGATGCTATATCTGAAGGAACGGTACTAGTGGCTGACATTGCAGGAGTGGAGGCTGATGTGGATGCTATATCTGAAGGAACGGTACTAGTGGCTGACATTGCAGGAGTGGAGGCTGATGTGGATGCTATATCTGAAGGAACGGTACTAGTGGCTGACAATGCAGGAGTGGAGGCTGATGTGGATGTATATCTGAGGCTGAGGAACGGAACTAGTGGCTGACATTGCAAGGGTGGAGGCTGATGTCGATGCTATATCTGAAGGAACGGTACTAGTGGCTGACAATGCAGGAGTGGAGGCTGATGTCGATGCTATATCTGAAGGAACGGTACTAGTGGCTGACATTGCAGGAGTGGAGGCTGATGTGGATGCTATATCTGAAGGAACGGTACTAGTGGCTGACATTGCAGGAGTGAGGCTGGAGCTATATCTGGATGAACGGTATAGTGGCTGACATTTGCAGGAAGGAACTGATGTGGACTATATAAGGAACGGTACTAGTGGCTGACATTGCAGGAGTGGAGGCTGATGTGGATGCTATATCTGAAGGAACGGTACTAGTGGCTGACATTGCAGGAGTGGAGGCTGATGTGGATGCTATATCTGAAGGAACGGTACTAGTGGCTGACATTGCAGGAGTGGAGGCTGATGTGGATGCTATATCTGAAGGAACGGTACTGATGTGGATGACATTGAAGGAACGGGAGGCTGATGTATATCTGATGGTGGATGCTATATCTGAAGGAACGGTACTAGTGGCTGACATTGCAGTGTGGAGGCTGATGTATATATCTGAAGGAACGGTACTAGTGGCTGACATTGCAGGAGTGGAGGCTGATGTCGATGCTATATCTGAAGGAACGGTACTAGTGGCTGACATTGAAGGAGTGGAGGCTGATGTCGATGCTATATCTGAAGGAACGGTACTAGTGGCTGACATTGCAGGAGTGGAGGCTGATGTGGATGCTATATCTGAAGGAACGGTACTAGTGGCTGACATTGCAGGAGTGGTGGCTGATGTCGATGCTATATCTGAAGGAACGGTACTAGTGGCTGACAATGCAGGAGTGGCTGATGACATATCTGAAGGAACGGTACTAGCTGACATTGCAGTGGAGGCTGATGTGGATGCTATATCTGAAGGAACGGTACTAGTGGCTGACATTGCAGGAGTGGAGGCTGATGTCGATGCTATATCTGAAGGAACGGTGACAATGCAGGAGTGGCTGATGTGGACATCTCTGAAGGAACGGTAGTGGCTGACAATGCAGGAGTGGAGGCTGATGTGGATGCTATATCTGAAGGAACGGTACTAGTGGCTGACATTGCAGGAGTGGAGGCTGATGTGGATGCTATATCTGAAGGAACGGTACTAGTGGCTGACATTGCTAGGGAGGGATGTGGAGGCTATATCTGAATGAACGGATGCTGATATCTGAAGATGCTATATCTGAAGGAACGGTACTAGTGGCTGACAATTGTGGAGGCTGATGTGGATGCTATATCTGAAGGAACGGTATATGACAATGAGGAGTGGAGGCTGATGTGGATGCTATATCTAGTGGCTGACATATCAGGAGTGGAGGCTGATGTGGATGCTATATCTGAAGGAACGGTACTAGTGGCTGACAATGCAGGAGTGGAGGCTGATGTGGATGCTATATCTGAAGGAACGGTACTAGTGGCTGACAATGCAGGAGTGGAGGCTGATGTGGATGCTATATCTGAAGGAACGGTACTAGTGGCTGACAATGCAGGAGTGGAGGCTGATGTGGATGCTATATCTGAAGGAACGGTACTGGTGGCTGACAATGCAGGAGTGGAGGCTGATGTGGATGCTATATCTGAAGGAACGGTACTAGTGGCTGACATTGCAGGAGTGGAGGCTGATGTGGATGCTATATCTGAAGGGAACGGTACTAGTGGCGGGATGCTATTGCAGGTACTAGTGGGAGGCTGATGATGATGCTATATCTGGAAGGAACGGTACTAGTGGCTGACATTGCAGGAGTGGAGGCTGATGTGGATGCTATATCTGAAGGAACGGTACTAGTGGCTGACAATTGCAGGAGTGGAGGCTGATGTGGATGCTATATCTGAAGGAACGGTACTAGTGGCTGACAATGCAGGAGTGGAGGCTGATGTGGATGCTATATCTGAAGGAACGGTACTAGTGGCTGACAATGCAGGAGTGGAGGCTGATGTGGATGCTATATCTGAAGGAACGGTACTAGTGGCTGACATTGCAGGAGTGGAGGCTGATGTGGATGCTATATCTGAAGGAACGGTACTAGTGGCTGACATTGCAGGAGTGGAGGCTGATGTCGATGCTATATCTGAAGGAACGGTACTAGTGGCTGACAATGCAGGAGTGGAGGCTGATGTCGATGCTATATCTGAAGGAACGGTACTAGTGGCTGACATTGCAGGAGTGGAGGCTGATGTGGATGCTATATCTGAAGGAACGGTACTAGTGGCTGACATTGCAGGAGTGGAGGCTGATGTCGATGCTATATCTGAAGGAACGGTACTAGTGGCTGACATTGCAGGAGTGGAGGCTGATGTGGATGCTATATCTGAAGGAACGGTACTAGTGGCTGACAATGCAGGATTGGAGGCTGATGTCGATGCTATATCTGAAGGAACGGTACTAGTGGCTGACATTGCAGGAGTGGAGGCTGATGTCGATGCTATATCTGAAGGAACGGTACTAGTGGCTGACAATGGAGGCTGAGGATGCTATATCTGATGGAACGGAGGCTGATGCAGGTGGAGGCTGATGTGGATGCTATATCTGAAGGAACGGTACTAGTGGCTGACATTGCAGGAGTGGAGGCTGATGTGGATGCTATATCTGAAGGAACGGTACTAGTGGCTGATGTGGATGCAGGAGTGGAGGCTGATGTGGATGCTATATCTGAAGGAACGGTACTAGTGGCTGACATGGATGCTAGGAACGGTACTAGTGGCTGACATTGCTGATGATGGATGCTATATCTGAAGGAACGGTACTAGTGGCTGACAATGCAGGAGTGGAGGCTGATGTGGATGCTATATCTGAAGGAACGGTACTAGTGGCTGACAATGCAGGAGTGGAGGCTGATGTGGATGCTATATCTGAAGGAACGGTACTTAGTGGCTGACATTGCAGGAGTGGAGGCTGATGTGGATGCTATATCTGAAGGAACGGTACTAGTGGCTGACATTGCAGGAGTGGAGGCTGATGTGGATGCTATATCTGAATGAACGGTACTAGTGGCTGACATTGCAGGAATGGAGGCTGATGTCGATGCTATATCTGGAAGGAACGGTACTAGTGGCTGACAATGCAGGAGTGGAGGCTGATATGGATGATGAAGGAACGGTACTAGTGGCTGACATTGCAGGAGTGGAGGCTGAGATTATATCTGAAGGAACGGTACTAGTGGCTGACATTGCAGGAGTGGGAGGCTGATGTGGATGCTATATCTGAAGGAACGGTACTAGTGGCTGACATTGCAGGATTGGAGGGAGTGGGCTATAGAAGGCTGATGTGGATGCTATATCTGAAGGAACGGTACTAGTGGCTGACATTGCAGGAGTGGAGGCTGATGTGGATGCTATATCTGAAGGAACGGTACTAGTGGCTGACATTGCAGGAGTGGAGGCTGATGTGGATATCTGAAGGAACGGTACTAGTGGCTGACATTGCAGGAGTGGAGGCTGATGTCGATGCTATATCTGAAGGAACGGTACTAGTGGCTGACAATGCAGGAGTGGAGGCTGATGTGGATGCTATATCTGAAGGAACGGTACTAGTGGCTGACAATGCAGGAGTGGAGGCTGATGTGGATGCTATATCTGAAGGAACGGTACTAGTGGCTGTCATTGCAAGGGTGGAGGCTGATGTCGATGGTATATATGAAGGAACGGTACTATGGCTGACATTGCAGGAGTGGAGGCTGATGTGGATGCTATAACTGAAAGGAACGGTACTAGTGGCTGACATTGCAGGAGTGGAGGCTGATGGATGCTATATCTGAAGGAACGGTACTAGTGGCTGACATTGCAGGAGTGGAGGCTGATGTGGATGCTATATCTGAAGGAACGGTACTAGTGGCTGACATTGCAGGAGTGGAGGCTGATGTGGATGAAGGAACGGTATATCTGAAGGAACGGTACTAGTGGCTGGAGGCTGATGTGGATGCTATATTGAACAGGCTGACATTGCAGGAGGCTGATGTGGATGCTATATCTGAAGGAACGGTACTAGTGGCTGACATTGCAGGAGTGGAGGCTGATGTGGATGCTATATCTGAAGGAACGGTACTAGTGACTGACATTGCAGGAGTGGAGGCTGATATGGATGCTAT